TTGAAACTAGAAATACACTACATATAAGACAATGCGGGAATGGACCAAACTTTTCAAAACTAATTAAAAAATTCTACACCAATTAAAATGCTTTTCCTATTATCAGTTTATCCATAATTTGATTGGTGAATTAATTAATTCATTTACAGACAGACATACAATAAATTGGCAGATAGATAGATAGATAGACAGACACACACCCCATACAATTTGAACAAAATCAAACAGAGTATTGAATATTGAAAAAACAAAACATTGAAAACATTGAATGTAAGTGATGACTCATTTAAACAAATAAACAAACAAACAATTGAATTCATAAACATACATACACGCGCACACACACACCAATAATTACAGCCAATTATCAATGAAAAATCAATATTTTAGAGACAGAGAGAGTAGGTGAAAGGCATAGATAATGTAGAGTAGTTAGTTGATGAGCAAAAAACCGTTTTTTCATGATGTTAATTTTCTAGTTCTTTTGTACAATTTTTTCAGTAGAAAAAATTATCTCAACTATACAAAACATTTACATAGACAGATAGGCAAGATGCGTGTTGGTGTTTTAGTTGAGAACATGTATAATACACATCAGTAAGTATCATGTGCACAGTTTTTTGAAGAAGGGTATCCTCCGTTTAGTAATTCCATCCACACACACACAAAAGAAACAATACACTGTTTGTTGTATTAGTTATAATTAAAATGTAATATTTCTGTTGCACAATCGATCAATCAATCAGTCTGTACTATGTTCGTTGTTGTGTGAAAATATGCTAAATAATGAGACAGTTTTCATAGTCCTCCTCATTCAAAGTAGTAAGTGTATAAATGATAGATGGATGTCGAAACGAGTTAAAAACACAATGAAAATTTGCATTACGGGGTTGTGAAGATTGTTAAGTTACACATTTTTGAAACCATGAATCGATCAATGTTAGACCACCATTAGAATCCTGGAAGCACTGGTGAGGAGTCCCATACCAGGACGAAACGGCCGTCTAATGCCGTCTAATAGTGGTCTAACATTTATAGATTCATGGTTTCAAAAATGAGTAACTTAACAGTCTTCACAACAACCCCGTAATGACTAGCTTCGTGAGGAATCTTCTCCGAGTTCTAGTGGGAAGATGTGACCAGTGAAGGTCAACCTGTTTGGATGTAGACAGTGTCTACCGAAGACTGTGTATGAGGTTGCGCAACTCCGTGAATTTGATCAAGTTAGACATTAACACCGTTGGATACCGGCTCAGTGGTCTAACGATTAAGGCGTTCGTGCACAATACCGAAGGTCCCAAGTCCGAATCCTGCGGGGTGCAGTAGTCGTGGATGCGCACTGATGAAGAGTCCCATACCAGGACGAAACGGCCGTCCAGTGCTTCCAGGTTTCTAATGGTGGTCTAACATTGATCGATTCATGGTTTCAAAAATGTGTAACAATGAAAATTAGCATGAAACAATATCGGGTAATAGAAAATAGTGTAGTGCCTCGACATATGTATTCGAGTTCGCGTACATTTTATTTGGTTAAGCCCTTTCGATTAATAATTTATTTATTCAAGGCATTTGGATAGCAACAAATGATCTGTACCATTGGTTCTTATTATTGTCCGCTTTGTAGGAGTTCACATGACCTTGTTCCACTTGTCTTTTGACCTTGTCATTTATTTGTCGCTTTTATTCATGTGTGTGCAAGCCTATCTAGTTGGTCACATGTTTGTCTGACGATAAATTCTTAGTCATGCTTTGTCTTTTTGGAGTTGGTTTACTAGCCCTTCTCCACATCGCTTCATCTGTTCATTCGCCTATCCACTCGCTTGCTTGTTTGCTTGCTTTCCGGGGCGCTCACATGATGATTTTATCTTTTAGCGCTTTTAGTCTACTGTTCTATTTGTGGTGCGTCAAAAATAAGCCTATTCAACACTCCAAGTTCACCTTCTGATTTAGAAACTGTCAGACGCTAATTAGTAGTGATTGTCTGAACGAGCTAATTACAAAGCTTAAGGACACGCGGTAATTGGCCACCACAAAATGATAAACAACAACAGAGAAGCGCTTATCTTACTACTATCGAACGATATTCATCCGTAACCACTGTTAGAGTTAAGGTGCAAGGTCTAAATACACAACCTAGAATAACAACATTCAATACCATCTACATTGACTTTGATTTCCTTTCAAGTTACTCCTATTTAATCGGGCAACACTCCTTGTTGTTGCAGTAAGTGTTTTTTTTGGGGTGGGTGTTAAGATAAAGCTAACACAAATATATATCCCAACCAAGTGATTCAACTAAGTCAGAAAATCGATTTGCTAACTTCAATTTATCTCAACCCATTCATTACTTTGGGGCAAAGTTTTGGAGGTTTTGTGTTTTTACACATTTGAAATCGTCAATCAATCATAAGTGTTAGACCACCATTAGAAACCTGGAAGAAGCACTGGACGGCCGTTTCCTCCTGGTATGGATGGGACTCATCAGTGGCAGTGTGCATCCACGACTCCCGCACCTCGCACGATTCGAACCCGGGACCTTCGGTATTGTGCTCGAACAACTAACCATCGGACCACTGGGCCGGTGGCACCCAACGGTGTTAATGTCTAACTCATTATTGTTAGTTAATGACTTAAATGCTTCTATTACATTGGAAAACAATATTTCAGAGGCAAATCTTTTGATTAACTCCACCTGGAGTCCTTCTGTGGCGCTACTGCCGCCGATCCCATGCTCGGATAAATGAGAAAGCTCAAGCGTTGAGTTAGCCGGGTCTCATCTCTTAGAAAACTAACTAACTATTAATGCTCGTTAAAATTCTTCGCATTCATCATGTTTTGCAGTCACAGTTGGACATTGAAATATTTTTGTTGTTAAAATAGGTTAAAACAGTTAAACAATCAAATTGTAGATTAATTGATGACAGACAAGATTCTTATCAACATTTCGTGTTAAATGATATAAATGAAGGCAGTACAGCAATAATTCATTAATGGCCAGTCAGTCAGTCAGTCAGATGCAACGTGGAACTTCGTACGTAAGTACATCATTCAAGGTTGCCAAACCACATCAGCACAGGGACATAATTGTCAATTCGAATCCAATAGTAGTAGAGGTAGTTAAGGTAGTCGAAGTAATCGGAGAGGTTAGGATTAGAAGATATTAGTCAAGAAGTATGATTTAATGAGATAAGTTTAGAAAGTAAAAACTAGAGGTGTTGAAGAATCCAGAAGATTAGGATTTGAGAGAACACAAAGAATGAATGCATCGGACCAATTGGAAACGATTTTGAGCCATGTCATTCAGCGTCGCTATTCATCGATTATTATCATCTCGCGGACCCCAAACAGTTAGTCGACAACTACCGAGATGACTTAGTACACTTGTCAATATCTTCATGGATCGCTGCCATGTTTTGGTCTGGCCGCCCCTAAATTTCTTCCAACCTATTGCTACACTACAAAACATACCTCGTCGAGGCAGTCGGTGGTTCGGCATTCATAACACATGTCCCAACCACCCCAACTGATGAAGTTTCATTACTTCATCGATTGATTTGCCATTCTTAACTAACACCCGTTCCATAATAACAGCATTGCTCACTCGGGTTTCCCACGATATACGAGCAATGCTTCGAAGACATTTATGATCGAAAACCAGTAACATACGAATATCTTCTACACTCACTGGCCATGTTTCACATCCATAAAGTAAGACGGAGCTAACTACTGCACAGTACACTCGTCCTTTAGTCAGTAAACGGATATCTCGCCTACGCCATAAGTACCGCAGGTTGATAAAAGCAAATCAAGCCTTCTGTATCCGTGCTGAGAGTTCCTTAGTCACCAGGCCATTAGCACTGATGAGACTCTCCAGATAAGTGAAGCGGTCAACACGATCGACTACTGTACTCCCTATCACTACTAGTTCAGGTGTCGATGCAACCTAATCTTGAAGCAATTCATTAATGTAATGGAAATCGATTTGAAATTCAGTTGTGGATCTATCAACAACAACACCAACAACAAACGGAAACTATTCAGTTGAATCTATTTCATTCGGATGACTGATTTTTATCGTTTAGTTTTTTCGTAGATAATAAAGAGTTGATGTGTTTTTTTTGTTAGTCAAATTTCTCTGTAGTGAGTGTGATGATGTGTATGAGATTTTGAAAACCGCGCATCATTAGTTGACAATTGAAAAAAAAAGAATGTTTATGAAGTCTATGAACGACACTAACCACTGTTGAATAAAACATTTTTAAAAAGAGTTTTAGAATCAATTTAGTAATGCAAACTGAAAATACTACTACTCACACCATTACTACTCCGACTACTACTACTATTACTCACACTACTACTGTAGTGAACGAGAACACAGGTGGGGGCTGAGCGAATTGTATTTAACAAAAATTACATAGTTACTCAGTAAAATCGGAAAACCATATCGTAAATCGTTCATTTGCAAAATATCAGTTAATCATATCGAACTGGACTGCTCCTGTTGCAAAACATCAATCCATTGTCACTATTCCTGCGTTTCATACAAATTCTATTGTGTTCTAACTCTTCCTTTCTTGATCTTCCCCCATCTTCTGCTGCCAGACATTACGTTTACACTCACGTCATATACTACTTATAAGTAGCTCGCACCACACTAATACTACAACTCACACTACTACTGTGGTGCGCGCTACTTATAAGTAGTATATGACGTGAGTGTAAACGTAATGTCTGGCAGCAGAAGATGGGGGAAGATCAAGAAAGGAAGAGTTAGAACACAATAGAATTTGTATGAAACGCAGGAATAGTGAAATGTCAGACAATGGATTGATGATGGATTGAAGATTTGCAAATTAATCGTTTACGATATGATTTTCCTATTTTACTGAGTAACTCTGTAATTTTCGTTAAAATGCAACTCGGTTGACCTCACTGGTGTTCTCCTTCACTACACTACTACTACTACTTCCACTACTACTAGTTCAATCATATCAACTTACGTAAGACGTGTAGCAGCATTAGGTTGATTTCGTATAAGTTGATGTTTTGTCATACCAATAGATTTCATGCCGACATTTGATTTATGAGTACGATTTAATATTGGACCAGATAATTGTGTAATTTGACATAATCCTTTAATGAATCGTGTTAAACTTTGCATTGGATCAATATTACTAGGTGGTGTAGATGGTATAACAATGCATAATGGTTGATGTAATGGGAAATTATTTACAGCTGATTCTAGTATAAGTAATAAACCAGAACAATGAGACAATGGTTGAAGTTTTAATTCACCCCAACCTAATTTTGAATATAACACTATGCATGATGGAATGGTATCATTTGAAAGATGTGATGATGTAGTTGTAGTAGTAGAAGTAGACCAACTGGCTTGATGAAGACCTGATATAGTGGATGGTGCAGTGAGTATTAAACCAGTGGATAGATCAGATGATTCTTCAGTTGATGAAATATTATTCCCATGTAGTGGGGCTACCAATAGTTCACCTAAGATACCACCACTACCACAGGCTGCAGCAGAAGAGGCGGAATCATGTCCTTCAGATTTCAATAATTCCATCATGAAACGATAAGTCAAAATGTTCGATGCACACCAATCCGGAAGAAGAGCGACATCTAATCTTTAAAATGTAGAAAAAAGAAAGAGAAATTTGTGTTTAAATAGAATGGTTAACCATAATAATCATAATCAGTTATTACTTCAGTGTTAATCAAAATATTCATTAATGATAACAGTTTTTTTTCTCATTTCATGATAATTAGTTCTCGATTGTGTGTGTTGACAGACACAAAATTTCAGTAAGCGGATATTGAAGGCGTGACTGGCTTTTATCAACTTGAGTAACTTTTTCATGCATGCAAGATATCTATCTGTTTACTTACTAATCGAAGGACAAGTCTACTGAGCATCAGTAGAAAAATATGAACAGTAAAAGTAAGAGGATATTCGTAGGTTATTAATATTCGATTACAGATGTCTTCGAAACACTGCTCGCATATACTTGGGGAAATCGACTAAGCAGTGCTGGGATGACAAATCGATAGATAAAGTAGTGAAACTTCTTCATCAGTTAAGGTGGTTGTGAAATGTGTTTTACGTATGCCCAACTGCTGATTGCTTCGGTGGAGCTTTGTTGTCTAATGTAGGAATAGGTAAAGGGGCGGCCAGTCCAAAACATGACACAAATGCATAAAGTCAATGACAAGTGAACTGAGTCATGCTGGTAAGTGTACAACACTACATGGTTGGGCTCTGCGAGACGATAGTACCGATTGGTTAGAAAGATTTAATGACATGGATCAAAGTCGTTTGTAATGGCGCATTTGCATCGATTATTTTTATTCTCACAAAATGTAACTTTCTGTATTCCTCATCACTTTTATCTTTCTACTTTGTTTTTGAACTTGTTTTACTAGATAATACTTCTTGTATAATAATACTTCTACTATCTCTACTTTTCTATGGGATTTGAATTAACGATTCGATCGTTGTGTGTTAAAGTGGTATGCAGACCTGAACTGTACTGTACTTGAGTACGAAGTTCTACATTTTAGATGAGTGACTGATTGAAGCACAAGTTAGCATTACGATCATTATATCAGTTGATTTATGATTAGAGTTATAAAATTAATATTTATAACCGAGTGTACTACGAAAAACTGCATTTTCTAGGATGTTTGCAATAGTGTACAAGTCTCAGTGCTAAATGTTAGCATCTCTGTGACACTAGCCAATGCACATCCAAAGCTGCATTATAAACTGTCGAACAGCCTGACACATCATAACAAGTAGCCTAAGTGAATGATTTTGATGTCGATTGAGTTATAACATCCAAATACAATGTCAGTCAGTCAGTCAGATGCAACGTAGAACTTCTTACGTAAGTACATCGGTTCATGTTGCCATTCCACCTTAGCACAGAGAGGTAATTGTCAATTCAAATCCAATGGTAGTAGAGGTAGTTGCTACCTTGAATTGTGGTGGTCGGGATTGTCTGTCGTGATGACCCAACCCAACTATATTGGCTGCAGCATATGTTCGTGAAGGTTTTACCATGCCAGGTAGGTCGATTGGAGAACGATGTGAGTAAAAGCAGCTACTCAAGGTCTGAGGGCGAAGTTGTACTGCTGACTGAATTTGGAGGGGTGTGACAGCAGTAAGGTGTTTCCCTCGGACAACCAGCATCTGCAGCGATGCTGCCTTCTCATCACAAGGAAGGAAGAGTAAGAAAAGGTCGACCCTAAAAATGTCACACCCCACACTACCTCACAGATTCCCATCTCCTTGGGTATGGCTGTCCACTAAGGGCTTTCAAGAGCGGAGCAAACACTCCAAAAACCTTTCATAAAAAGGCTGTGTGTGACCTGCCTCAAGCAGTTGTCCTTTGGACTCTCTAAGATCAACACCAACCTATATTCCTTTTCAGTTCCTTCAAGAAACAACCTTCGACGGTGTGGGCATCCGGGAAGTGACAACCGCCCTCATACCCGTAACAACAGTACACGAGACCGAATTGGTCAAAATCAAATCTTTCCTACACCCACACATATCTCTCTTCTCTTCACAAATACAATGTAAGGAAATGTTGATTACTTAAAAACAATAGAATAAACATCACCATTTCAAAAATCGAATCAAATTTTTACATAAAAAAAAACTAACTTTGGTAAATGTTTCACCATTGGCCACCAATTCGGTACCATTGATTGTAATGGATAACTACCACCAAGAAGTGCTGTAAAACCTTGTATAGCAAATAAAGCACATGATTGTGATGCTATTCCATGACTAGGGAATACATAGATTACTGGTCGTGTTGTGTTTAATGCAGTACCAGTTGATAGAATATAAGAATCCGATTGTATTTTAGTGATTGGATGTTGATTTATGATAATTTGATCAACAAATGATCGTAATCCTTCAAAACCTACATTTAGAGGGGAGAAAACAAACAGGAACATAATATCATTTCAGTGTTAGTTAGTTAGTTAGTTACATTTTAACAGCTTGAATGTACTGTTGTGTAAAACAAATAGAATCAGTGTTTTCTCAAGACAGTCCTACTGTATGGAGTGGAAACTTCGAGAACTGTGAAAATCATCATCCACAAGATATAAGTGATTATTAACAGTTGTCTTCGAGCAAAATACTTCGAATTTGTTGACCAGACTTCATCAACAACATTAACAACCTACTGTGGGAGAGAACAAACCAGATTCCAACGGAGTGAATAAGATACACACATTGAGGAAAGCCTTGGAGAACTACGAAAGGCATCATTCAGATGGTACAAGTGTTTATGAATAGTTGTCTACGCAAAATACTTCGGATTCGTTGGCCAAACAGCATCAGCAACAACGAACTGTGGGAGAGAACAAACCAGATTCCAGTGGAGGAGGAAATCAGGAAAAAGCGGTGGAAGTGGATAGGACACATACTACGAAAAGCACCGAACTACGTCACGAGACAAGCCCTCACATGAAACCCTGAAGGCAAAAGGAGAAGAGGAAGGCCAAGGAACACATTACGCCGAGAAATAGAGAAAGATTTCAGAAGAATAAACAAAACTGGACAGACCTGGAAATGGAAGCCCAGGACAGAGTTGGTTGGCGAAAACTGGTGGGCGGCCTATGCTCCATTGGGGATAACAGGCGTAATTAAGTAAGTAAGTAAGTATTGAGGAAAACACCCAACTTCGTCTCAATACAAGCCCTCACTTAGAATCCTCAAGGTCAAAGGAGAAGAGGAAAACGAGAGAACATACTATGCTGAGAATCAGAGACAGACAGACATGAGAAGAATGAACAACCATTGGATAGAACTAGAAAGGAAGGTGGGAGACAGAGTAGTAGGTTGGAGAATGCTGGTCGGCGGCTGATGCTTCATTTGCGGGTGACAGATGAAAGTAAGTGGTCAGTAAAATAAGTTCATATATATATATATATATATATATATATATATATATATATATATATATATATATATATATATATATATATATATGAAATCGCACATGCATACACGGCTAACAGTATATAAATGTCATGTTATATTACGCCCTCATAACAGTGATATTAATAAAATACTCAAGGCTAACTCAATGGCCACAACGTAAACATTCTATAAATCGGATTAATAAATATGAATTTCATATCTCACAAATCGTAGGCGAATGTATCAACAGCTGTCTAGTACACTGTGATCATAGAATGCTTTTACCAAGGATGAAATCAATATGTTAGTGACAAACATAAACGATCGGGTAAAATTCCTAGATCAATCACAGTCGTTAGACATTAACACCGTTGGATGCCACCGGCCCAGTAGTCCTATGGTAAGGCGTTCGTGTACAGTACAAGAAGGTCCCTGGTTTGGAATCCTGTGAGGTACAGGAGTCGTGGATGAGCACTGCCACTGATGAGTCCCATCCATACCAGGATGAAACGGCCGTCATTCAGTGCTTCTTCTAGGTTTCTAATGGTGTGGTCTAACACTAATGATTGATTGATGATTTCAAATGTGTAAAACAACACAAATCTCCAAAACTCTACCTGAAAATAAACGATCTACTCTATTTATTTTTACTATGTAACTGATCAAATAGGGTAGAGAGTTAGAAATACAGATTTTTAAACAAATCTAATACTCCTTTGTAAATTTTCTTCAATAAAAAGTGTGACAGGAAAAGTTTTTATCAAAACAATTTTTCTAAATAAATTGATTTTCAATTTTTTTTTTAGTTAAATGAAAGAAAAAACAACGTAGACTAAACAAACACAACATAAATAGTCAATCAATGCACATTTCCGTAATGATTCTCTCATAGTTCATTGTAAGTCAATAATTTCTAGGGAAAATATTGTAAATTAATAAATATTTTGGAAAATTTCTGGCAGAAAATTTTCACAAGAAAAAAAATAGTGACTGTTAATGCGTGAGCAAGTTTTTTGTTATTGTATTTGTGGTTGATATTTTTGATTGGGATAACTGTTACGCCTGTACGTAAACACGTCAACTTGATATGCTTGAATTATTCCAATCGATAGCAACGTAGAACTTCGTATGTACGTACGTACGTACCTCATTTCAGGTTGCCATACCACATCAGCACAGAGATATAATTATCAATTCAAATCCAATAGCAGAAGAGGTAGTAAAGGTATTAGAAGTAATCCGAGAGGTTAGGATTAGAAGATATTATTCAAGAAGTATGATTCAATGAGATAAGTTTAGAAAGTCGAAACTAGAGGTGATGAAGAATCCAGAAGATTAGGATTTGAGAGAACACAAAGAGTGGACATACCGGCGTCATTGCAAACGGTTTTGAGCCATATCATTCAAGGTCTGTAACCATCGATTATTATCATCTTGCGGACCCCAACCAGGTAGTCGACAACTACCGACATGACTCAGTCCGCCTGTCAATGACTTCATGGATTTGTGCCATGTTTTGGTTTGGCCGACCCTAACTTTCTTCCAGCCTATTCCTACACTACAAAACAAAGCTCGCCGAGGTAGTCGGTGGTTAGGCATACGCAACACATGTCCCAACCACCTCAACTGATGCAGATTCAATACTTCATCTAGTGATCTGCCAGTCTTACATAGCGCCCGTTTCCTAATAACAGCATTGATTACTCAGCTGTCCCAGGATATACGAACAATGCTTAGAAGACATCTATAATCGAAAACCAGTAAACCAAATATCAAGTTGACTTGATCACGTCAATCTAGTAAATACTATTAACTTATGTACAATGTGTAACAAGTTGTGTAAATCATCTTATGAATATCTATGATTGTGTGAATGGTTCTCTGTCTATGCAGTTATGTAAGTGATCACAACTGTTTATAGACTTGTCATGCGTATCTGCCGATAAATTATTTTCAGTTAGACCTTTGGAGATTTGTGTTTTTACACATTTGAAATCATCAGTCAATCATTGTTTAATCACTATTAGAAACCTGGAAGAAGCACTGGACGGTCGTTTCGTCTTTGTATGGATGGGACTCATCAGCAGTGCGCATCCACGACTCCTGCACCTCACAGGATTCCAACCCAGGACCTTCTTGTATTGTGCACGAATGTCTTACCATCGGACCACTGGGCCAACATCCAATGGTGTTAATGTCTAATTCTGATTGATCTAGGGATTTTGTGCGACCTCACCCATTTGTATTTGGTAGTTACTGCCTACCAAACCCGACAGCAATGAAATCCATTGGTCACGTCTTCTCAACTAGAACTTCGAGAATTTCTTCACGAAGTTAGTCACTAGTGAGCACTGTTACGATATTTTCAGTTAGAGGTTTGGAGATTTATGTGAGGTGCAGGACTAGTGGATGCGCACTGCTACTGATGAGTCCCATAGCAAGATGAAACGGCCGACCAGTGCTTCCAGGTTTCTAATGATGGTGTAACAATGATTGATTGATGATTTCAAATGTCAATGACAACTGGACTAATCCATGTAAGTTGGTACAGACTAACTGGTTGAGTTCCGCGAGACAATAGTAGCAGGTGATCAGAGGAGACCTGGAATGATATGGCTCAAAATCGTGTACAATGGTGGTGCAGGAGTTCATCGACTCTTTATGTTCTTTCAAATTCTAAACTTATGAATTCCTCAACACACCTTTATCTTTCACTTTTTAATTTTATTTCATTAGACTATACTCCTTGAGCAGTATCTTCGAACCGTAATCTTTCCGATTATCGTTCATACTTCTACTAATTGTACCACTAGGACATTTGAACTGACAAATGTGCAACATTTCTATGTACTGATGTAGTTAATAGTGACTTGGCTTGATGTACATAGGTACATAGTTCTACGTTGTTACTAACTAACTGACACTAACTGTTAGCTTATCACATCACCTAAGTCCTTTAGCCAAAAATTATACTATCCTCCCTAACTAATTCTTTTAGGCTTTTTAAACATTTTACTCAGTCGACGATGAGTTAAGTAGTAGTAGTAGTAGTAGTAGTAGTAGTAGTAGTAGTAGTAGTCACTGTAATCTGAACAGTCAGTCAGTCAGTCAGTCAGTCAGTTGCAACGTAGAATTTCGTACGTATGTACATAAGTTCATCCTGCCATAGCACATTGCCACGCAGACGCAAAGGTCAAATCAAATCCCGTAGTGATAGAGATAGTAGAGGTATTAATGGTAATGAAGAAGACTAGAGTTCGAAGATATTATTCAAGAAGTATAATTCAGTGAGATGAGGTTACAAAGACAAAGTTAGAGGTGCTGACGAATCCAGAAGGTAAGAATTTGAGAGAGCACAATGAATGGATGCACCTTCTCCATTGCAAACGATTTTGATCCATGTCGTTCAAGGTCTCTAACAATCGGTGACTCTCGTCTTGCAGACGCCAACCACGTAGTTTACATCTACCAACGTGACTCGGTCCACTTGTCACTGACTTCATGCATTTCTGCCGTGTTTTGGTCTGATCGCCCGCTAACTTTCTTCTAACCTACTCCTACATCACAAAACATAGCTCGACGAGGCAGTCGAGCCATACTTAGCCATACTTAACACATGTCCCAACTACCTCAACTGATGAAGTTTCAATACTTCATCTATTGATCTGCCATCCTTACCTACTACTCATTCCCTAGCGACAGCATTGCTTACTCGGTTGTCCCACGATATACGAGCAATGCTTGTTAAACATCTATGATCGAATACTAGTAACCTACGAACATCTTCTACTCTTAACGGCCATGTTTCACATCCATATAGGAGAACGGAGCGAACTGCTTCGCAGTACACCCGTCCTTTGGTTAGCGAACGGATATTACGCCTACGCCATAAGTGACGCAGGTTGGTAAAAGCAAATCGAGTAAGTAGGGTAATCCGAACAATGGATAAACAGGACAATAAAACAAAACAGACACAGCTAGTCATTACAAAACCGTTTTCGACATGCGATTGAAGAAAATCAATCAATCAATCAAAAACTTACCAGACAAATTTCCATGAATATTTAGTGGCTTTCCATTGAAACGCCAACTTGCTTCAATAAGAATTTTAATTTTCACTAAACGTGCATTGATTTGTGTTAGAATAGTATGTGGATGACCAGATTTATAGACTGGCCAACATGTTCCAGTACCAGCAAACGGTGTGATGATGTTTAAGTGAATTTGATCACCGAAATTGGAAAATTTCTTTAAATAAGGCCACCAACTCTATATTTAAATTAAATGTGTAGAAATAATATAATCAAGGAAAAATTTTAAAAAGTTTAATTAAATTCAAAAAAGATGAAAATCAAACAATTTATTTTGATAATCTTGTCAAAAAAAAATCTTCAAAATCTTGAACAAGTTTTTTTTGTATCGCAACTTATCAGAGTCAGTCAGTCAGTCAGATGGAACACGTAGAACTTCGTACGTAAGTACATCAGTTCATGTCGCCATACCACATCAGCACAGAGATATAATTGTCAATTCAAATCCAATAGTAGTAGAGGTAGTAAAGGTATTAGAAGTAATCGGAGAGGTAAGGATTAGAAGATATTATTCAAGATGTATGATTTAATGAGAAAAGTTTAGAAAGTCAAAACTAAAGTTGTTGAAGAATCGAGAAGATTAGGATTTGAGAGAACACACGAATGCACCGGTGCCATTGTAAACGGTTTTGAGCCATGTCATTCAAGGTCTCTGACCATCGATTATTATCATCTCGCGGACCCCAACCAGGTAGTCGACAATTACCGACATGGCTAAGTCCACTCGCAACTTGACATTATTTCGTTAATGAATGCGAACACTACACACTCACTCTAGTGAATCTAGTTTGACACCCTACACTAATATGGTTTATGATATAGTGAGCAAATCAAAAGTGGGGTCAGCGGAAAATGCTAGTTAATGACCGTTAGTCAATATACCCCTGAAGGATGAATACAAGTCATTGGGCGAGAAAAAATGGCTTCCTTTTCTAATTTTATTATTCGGTAGCTAAATAGACTTTCTCTTCTGCTGTTGCCTTCTTGCTTAAAGTAACTAGTTTGGGGGGGGGGCTAGCGCTCATTGTGATCAGATCTCGGGCACCGCACATCATAACAGCTTACATTTACGTTTCCCTACGACATTTCTTTCCGAATGTCAATGACGCTGACAAAATGCAGATTCTTCTGACTACCCTAAGCAACAATGCAAGCATATTCGGGATGAGGTTCTCCCCGTCGAAATGCGAAATTTTGCTTCAAGATTGGGTTTCATCGGCACCTGAACTAGTGATAGCGAGTGAAGTAGTCGAACGTGTAGACCACTTCCCTTATTTGGGGAGTCTCATCAGTGCCGATGGCCTGGTGACTGATGAAATCTCAGCACGGATACAGAAGGCTCGATTGGCTTTTGCCAACCTGCGTCACTTATGGCATAGGCGAGATATCCGCTTGTTAACCAAAGGACAGTACGGATGCGATACTTGGCGTTTAAGAGTATAGGACTTTCGTAAGTTACTAGTCTTCGATCATCGATGTTTTCGAAGCATTGCTCGTATATCGTGGGACAACTCAGTAAGCAATGCTGTTGTTAGGGAACGGATGCTAGGTAAGAATGGCAGATCAATAGATGAAGTAATGAAACTTCATCAGTTGAGGTGGTTGGAACATATGTTACGAATGCCTAACCACCGACTGCCTCGACGAGCTTTGTTTTTTAGTGTAGGAATAGGTTGGAAGAAAGTTAGGGGCGGCAAAACCAAAACATGGCACAAATCCATGAATTCATTGACAAGTGGACTGAGTCATGTTGGGGTCTGCGAGACGAAAGTCACTAATGGTTAGAGACTTTGAACGATATGGCACAGAATCGTTTGCGATGGCAGGCGCAGGTGCACCCACTCTTTGTGTTCTCTCTAATTCTAACCTTCTGAATTCCTCATAATCTCTATCTTTCTCTTTCTAAATTTGTCTCACTGAATTATACTTTTCGAATCATATCTTCGCTCCGTAATCTTCTCTCCATTACTGCTAATTCTTCTCGTATCGCTATCACTTTCGCATTTGAAATGACTGTTGAGTCTCTGTGCTAATGCGGTATGGCAACCTGAACTGATGTACTTACGTACGTACGAAGTTCTGCGCTGTATCTGTCTGTCTTCCTTGTGACTTTCTGCACTGAGTAAATTAACGAATGCTTGAAACAATAAACACTACTAATAATCAAGTTTCAAAAACTGTACATCAATACAGAAATGCAACTACAATAAAATAAAAAAAACCCAATGATCTTATCTATAGTTCCCGTCTAGTTAAAATCCATTTCTACTACTACTAATAAAAAAGTTTTGAAGACATAATCTGAATATTTCTAAAAGCAAACTAATCAACTAAGATGAATGTGGAATGTAAGTTTGGTATGTGAAAAATACCACTTGTAAGAAAGCGAATTATAACATTAGTTAACTAACAATCAACCACATTCCTTTCTAAATTAATTCAAAATAAAATAGAACATAAAGGTTCAATTCAAACAAATAGACTTTATTGTTTTTTAAAGGAAAAACACTTAGAATACTATTTATCACTATAAAATACAAGTAAACAATTAAAAAAGACTATCTACCATGTTCCAGAGACTAGACATCATTTATTCAAATATATAAATATACTGTCTAGTAATGGAATCTAGGTGAAACTATTTAGAATATGATGTAACCACGATTAAGCTGTTTTTATATAAATCTAAAGTGAATGCAGATCAATAGGTGAAGTAGTGAAACTTCATCAGTTGAGGTGGTTGGGACATGTGTTACGTATGTTCAACTGCCGACTGCCCCGACGAGCTATGCTTTGTGGTGTAGGAGAGAAGGTTGGAAGAAAGTTAGGGGCAGACAGATCAGAACATGGCACAAATCCATGAAGTCATTGACAAGTAGACTGAGTCATGTTGGTAGATGTAGACTACTACCTGGTCGGGGTCGGCGAGACGATAGTCACCAATGGTTAGAGCAGTTGAACGACATGGCTCAGAATCGTTTGCAATGGCGCAGGTGCACTTATTCTTTGTGTTCTCTCAAATCCTTAACTTCTGGATTCTTCATCACCTCTAGTTTCGACTTTCTAAACTTATCTCAATGAATTACACTTCTTGAAAAATATCTTCAAACCCCCTAGTCTTCTTCATTACCATTAATACGCCTACTATCTTTATCACTATGAGATTTGATTTAACATTTGCGTCTCTGTGTGGTAATGTGGTATGGCAACATGAATCGATGTACATACGTACGAAGTTCTACGTTGCAAGTGACTGACTGAAAGTGAATGCTACGTAGCAATGAATAATACCCAATGAAAAAATTAGTAGGTGATCACTATTGTTGGAGCAGCTCAACATCATGAATAAAATGACAGTCAGCTAAAGAATGGAAAACTATCATAGTCATCATTTAGAAGATACAAGCATTTCATTAACAGTTGTCTATGTGAAAAACTTCGGATTCATTGGTCAGATACTATTAGAAACAACCTACTGTAGGAAAGAACAAACCATGTTCCAGCTAGGGGAGGAAATCACCAAACTGCGTCACAAGACAGGCCCTCAATTAGAATCCTCAAGGTCAAAGAAAGAGAGCAAGACCAAGGAATACATTACACCGAGAAATAGAGAAAGACATGAAAAGGATGAAGAACATTTGAATAGAACTAGAAGGGAGGGTAGGAGACAGAGTAGGTTGGAGAATCCTGGTCGGCGACCGATGCTCCATATGATGGGGGGGGGGTACCAGGAGTAAGTAATTAGCCTTAAGAAACGTTTGGGATGTTGTATTTAAGTTAGTTTTAATTGAACGAGGCATATTCAACATTTCAAGAAAAATAATTTATTTCGTGAAGCACTATCTACAGTCAAAGATTCTGATCATCAATCAAACTAACAATGATGAAGCTTAATCTAAAAATGCTGTAAGAACTACATTCCTAGTCCGGAACACTGACTACCATTTCTTGAGTGAGCAGTTTCAAGATTGTCAAAATAATCGAATGTTTTTAGTTCATACTATACTATTGATGAATAGTGATAATACAATTGTGTCTCTGTGCTGATGTGGTATAGCTAATGGAGCCTTCTGTATCCGTGCTGAGATTTCGTCAGTCAACCGGCCATCAGTGCTGATGAGACTCCCCAGATAAGTGAAGCAGTCTACATGTTCGACTACTTCACTCCCTGTCACTAATTCAGGTGCCGATGCAACCTAATCCTGTAGCGGCATTTTGCATTTCGACGGGGAGAAGCGCATCCCGAACATGCTTGCATTGTTGCTCGGGGTAATCAAATGACTCTGCATTTTGTCAGCGTTTTCACCAAGTAGGACTATGTCATCAGTATATTCTAAGTCAATAAGCGAGCCACCTGGTAAAAGGTCTCCTTCTGAAAATTCAGACGAGTATAAGGTTATTTCTAAGAGCATGTCTATGATAAAATTAAACAAGAATGGAGAGAGTGCGGACATCCCTGAGGGATACCAATTGAAGTAAAGAATACCAATGACAGTTCGGCATAAGCTCTCACTCGACCAGTAGTTTTTAGAATAAAGAGGTTCATCATCACTATACACTGATCAATTTTAATTGGTAAATCTGTTTTACCACTCAACAAGTGTATCACACAGTCAGTCATTTAGAAAACAAAGAAAACTAACAGTTAATTGTTGTCTAAACACAACACAAACTCAAATACAAAAATTTAGCCAATCAAGGTGTCTAATATTACTAAACCATAACTAAGTCATATAAGGTTACAATAGATATGAATCATACAATCAAAGTATGTATCGTTTTAGTAAAAAAAAATCATGATTTAGCCAAAAAAAGGTACAGAGTTGATGCTGTTGCTGTTGTTCATAAATAAACACAATCGCTGTGATTCATGTTTTCATATGTAACGGAAAGTATGATTTAGTTGAAATGAATAAATATTTTACGTAAAACGGAACAAAACACTGAATTCATTAAAATGCTGAAGAGTCCCATCCATACCAGGACGTAACAGCCGTCATTCAGTGCTTCTTCCAGGTTTCTAATGGTGGTTGGTCTATCAATGAGTGATTCATGGTTTCAAAAAAATGTGTAACTTAACAATCTTCACAACAACCCCGTAATGCAAATTACCTGTGTTCACTAGTGACTAGCTTCGTGAGGAATCTTCTACGAATTCCAGTGGGAAGATGTGACCAG